GTAGACCAAACTGAAAGCACCAGAGTTTTAGTTTGCCAGGTAGAGCACAGCTGTTTATGCTCTTCAACCCTTCCACTGCTTGTCGTCTAACTTCTCCCACCCGAACTGTGTCCTTTAGATCCCCATCGTACCATCTCCCAAGACTCTTCACTGGCTTCTCAGAAACTGTTGGTATTGCTTCACCATTAATGAAGAATGTTTTATCTACTACCTTTCCTTTAACTATCGAGATGCTCCTTGATTTAGAGGGCTTAAATTGCATTCGTGCCCATTCAATATTATCTGTTAACTTCCCCAATAACCGATTAGTGCATGAAATGTTACTTGGACATCAAATCAGCATATTACAATGATATTTGAAGGATCATGTGACACTGAAGACTAAAGTAAAGGCCACTGAAAATTAATTACTGGAATAAATGACATTTTAAAATATATTTAAAATTTTCCAGTAAATTGTAACAATATTTTACAATATTATTGTTTTTACTGTATTTCTGACCAAGTAAATGCAGCCTGGGTGAGCATTAGTAATTTTCAACAAAAAAAAAAGTTTTTAAAATCACACCGACCCAAACTTTTGAATGACAGTGTAATTTTACTTAATATGAACTTCTTTGTAATTGATGCAGGCTATAACAGCAATATACAAGCATTCATGGTTTTGTACTGAATATCAGACTTGACTCTCACTCTTGTGAAAGTGCTTCATTGTGCCAACTTTCTTTCAGTATATTTATTTGAACACATGGCCTTTAAATCATGATTGTACCCAAGCAGACAAGGTCTTGATATTGCTGTTGTTCTCATTGGGGTGAGCTTTTCTGATGGGACAGCTTGAAAAGGACATGACAAGCAATGTAGTGTGTGTGTATAACTAGGGCAGAGTCGGCTTCAGTGGACACCCACTCATCTGACTATATTTGGAAAACTGCAGCAGTAGTTTTAGACTTATGAAAAGACAATAGTAGACAAGTTTCATGTGACAGACCCACATTTTTCACATTTCCGATTTTCTCTTCAAATCAAAGTTGGAGTCCTCAACTTGACACTGCAATTCAAGCGAGAAAAAGATTTTATGCATTTTGTAACTTGATGATGTTAACTAGCAGCTTTGGGCTCTAGCCGGCACTGGGATTATACTTCACTGCTGAAGAAAATCTGTGAACCATTTGCTTACATTCTCAACAGTGTTAGTTGCAAATGATGCTTTCTCATGTGCACCCCAGTCTGCCGTGATGATACATAAGTATTTATAAAGAGAAGTGCCAGAGGCATATACTGTAATTCACATTACTGCTCTCATTAGTAATGTCTACAGTGGTGTTAGCACATTATCTCTCTGGTGCTTTATTAAAAAAAATTTTGAAAAAGAGGAGAAAGAAAAAAATTTACCATTAAAGGGATAGTTCCTGTCATTAATTACTCACCCTAATGTTGTTCCAAACCCGTAAGACTTTCGTTCATCTTTAAGAAACCGCTCAATTCATATAGATTATTTTTACGATCTCTTTATGAACTTTTTGAAGCGTCAAAGTGGTAGTTGCGTAGCTGTAAATGAAGGGACAGAGATCGCTCAGATTTAATCAAAAAGATCTTAATTTGTGTTTTTAAAGATGAACGAAAGTCTTACGGGTTTGGAACGACATGAGAGAGTAATTAACGACAGAATTTTCATTTTTTGTGTGAACAATCCCTTTAAGATACTTCCGTAAAGATCATTTACCATGATCACTCAATCGCCATGTGAGAGGGCTATCTCTCAAAGCCACTTACTCAAAATAGTTGTCCTTGTCTGCGTCAACAGGGGATGGACAATGTCTTTATAGTTTTCGAGAGAGGGGGGCAAAGTCTTTCTTAAATGCACTTTTGTGACAGCTGCCACTTGAATCAAAATAATTGTATTTAAGTCCACAACACAATACTAGCAACAGAGCCTGTTGTGCAGTTCATCCACAGTGTGATTAGCCCCTATAAAAGATTAACCAGAGGTCTGTGGTGCTGCCCATGCAGGGTATCCAATGGTTAGTTCACAAGCCCCATTGGCAGTGGACTGTTAAATAATATAACAGGCAGTTTCTGCAGCTTCCTGGCCTAATTTCGGTCAAACCTAGCCTAGAGTCTTATTGAATAGATCTGTCACAAATACAAGCACTGAACCAAACGTAGCTAGTTGGATATGAACGAGTATCAATCACATCTCAACATCACAAGACACTGGAGTCACACAACACCAGAAAGGCTGTCTCACAGTGGAGCTCAAACTCAGAAGACGGACTGATGTTTGGTTGATCTTTGGTCACATATCCAGTGGTCTTTAATGTTCCGATCATAACACAGACATCTCAGACCCATCAAATATACATATTACTTATCAGGGCTGAACACTGTGTTTCGCTGTCTCAGAGAATACTCTTTGACAGTGATAGTGACTTCTGACTTTTGTGTTTTTTTTAGATCTGGAACGTGGCATGAATTTGTGATCGTTTATGGCATACATATATCAATTTCAATTTTAATATATCAATTTTATCAAATAAATATTGTATAATTTATCAGTTGCTTTCTATAATTATTGCACTTGAGCACACAGAATGTGCACAATTATTTTCTTAGAAATGTGAAATAAAAAGTCACGAAGCATTTCCTTGACTCTGAAACATGAAACTCTTAATGTGAACCACTACATCAGTGACAGTGGGTCGCTGATTTTAAATGTCTTTATTGAAAATGTTTTTCATCCACTACTTTTCACCATTGCATGATACAAAGTGAAAATAGTGAAATGTTGCTGCTGAACACAACCTACTGTCGTCTGTGTCAGTTCATAGAGAATCACCCCTAGGCCATCAGATGAAAGAAAGTAGATTTTTAATAACCCACAAGCTTTTGACAAGGTCATAACTGCACTGTATGAAAGGTATAAAAGAGAAAAACAGGATGTTATAATAAAGTAGGCAGTTGGTCAGGGTAAATGCTCTAATTTAATGTTTCTTGCACTTTTTTTTGAAGTAAGGGGTAAAGTACATGAGTAATGCTGTGTAACACCTAAGTAACATTATGTGAATTGTGTTTACTTTACTCAGTATATTGAAACTAAATATTTTAGGTAGGGCCAGGACTCGATTAAAAAAATTAATCTAATTAATTAGAGGCTTTGTAATTAATTAATCGAAATTAATCGCATTTTAATCGCATAAATATTTGACCTGAGAACTGTGAGAAGTAATTTTTTTCACATGGATTTTTAGTATACCATTGAATAATGACTGCATACATAAGCTTAAGCAACAAAATATTGTTTATTTTTGTTCAACCAAGTCCAGCAGACCAGTGCAATTTTTGCCATTAAGTGTAGCAATAGCATATTGCAACAAAATAGCATATTGCTACACTACACTAATAGCAATAGCGAATTCCTTGTTGCATAGCTTGCACACAACCATGCTCTTATCGACGCGTCCATCCGTTCGTTTTTTGTAACAACATTTCCCAGCCACCGGCCAACCAAAGCGATCTCGTCAGCTTCTTCGGGTGCTTCTCAATATCCCTCCTCGTCTCCTCGCTCTTCCGTCCTCCATCCTATGACCCGGAAGCGATATTTTTTTTCACAGGATGGTAGGGGAAGACTCATAAATATTCATTAGGGAACTCATCCCTGATTGGTCTGATGACCTAACCGCTAACCCCGCCCCTAAACCTACCCGTCACTGGGGGTCTGATGACCTACCCCTAACCCCGCCCCTAAACCTACCAGTCACTGGGGTTAAGACCAATCAGGGATGAGTTCCCTAATGAATATTCATGAGTCTTCCCCTACCATCCTGTGAAAAAAAATATTGCGACCCGGAAACCAATCGAGCTCAGCCATCTTGAAGGACATCTCAATTCTCTAATTGCACCGCGAGGAGGCGAGGATCGAGGAGTGAGGAGGCTTCCAGAGGAGCTATGAGCGAAGATACACAGGTGTACCCTTTGCGGAAGAGTTTTATCGACTAAACATGACGCACGTATCAATTCTCCTCCCCCTTCACATCTGTCACAATCATTTGAATTTATACTTTACTCTTGTAGTTTACATAAACCACACAACTCACATATTTCAACAAGGTATCTTGCTTTATTATTATTTATTATTAATTTCTTAAATAAACAAACTTTAACAACATAAGGGCAGATCCTTTGAGCACTGCTGATGACGCAGTGAAGTGACGTTCGAGTGATCAAGTATTCCAATGTATAAAAAAGCTTTCATTCAATTCCTCCGTCCTCATTTTTTTTTTCTTGCAGCCTTCCCTCGCGTCCTACAGGGGGTGGAGCTGAGACGCGAGGAAAGGAAACGAGGATGCACAAATAAGAAATGAGAAGCACCCTTCGTCATGAACGCTAGTTGGTGCGCCAGTATAATCGGTCCGCCGAAACTCATCCAGTGAGAAACGTTCCGCGGTGCAAAAATAAGTGCGATTAAAAATATTTTTTGTGTAATTAATTAACGCGTTCAAGTGTGTAATTAATTCATCTTAATTAACGCGTTAAAGTCCCGGCCCTAATTTTAGGTTATAAAATAGCCTATATAATATTTTTATCATGCAATGCTGAAAAGTAGTGGATGAAAAACATTTTCAATAAAGACATTTAAAATCAGCGACCCACTGTCACTGATGTAGTGGTTCACATTGGTTTCATGTTTCAGAGTCAAGGAAATGCTTCGTGACTTTTTATTTCACATTTCTAAGAAAATAATTGTGCACATTCTGTGTGCTCAAGCGCAATAATTATAGAAAGCAACTGATAAATGATACAATATTTATTTGATAAAATTGATATATTAAAATTGAAATTGATATATTGATATATTTATGCCATAAACGACCCTGCAAACCAGCTAATCAACCACTTTTTGTCTCATTTATAGGATAGTTCTGGGAGTAAAAAAAAAAATCATATTCTTACTCATATCTTGATTCATCTGTTTCATTATCAAATATTAGCTGGCTTACCTCAAAGTGTAAAGTATTTTCCCATCATTCCATATTCTAAGTAGCTGATTTGGTGTAGTAATCCAATGTGAATCTGCGCTCTTGGAATTTCTGAAGATCGTGTCCGGTAGCCAAATGAGTCCAACCATATTACTGTTCAAAGTCAATATTTTCATAGTGCTGTTATATCTGAGCCGGCTGTCCATCCATGTCTGTGCAAAAATTATGTCAATCTGGTACTCCTGTGGAAATAAAATAAAAAGGTCATGTATCAAGAAAGATGAATGACATGTTGACTTAATAATAGCCTATATATTGAAGCTCTTACAGTGATCACTTTTAAACCATAAATACATGTCACTATTCTTGTTGATTGAATATTGAAAATTGAACCCATTTTAATACAACCTGGCCTTAACGGTATTTTTTAGCACGCACTCTTAACATATTTCCACTGTGATTAATTCCTAAACAGCTCTGATGAGTAAACACAGAGCCATACAGTAGCAATCTGAATTCCTAGAACCAGCCCTTAAATTAATGCCAGAATTATTCAGTATTCAGTGATGGAGCACCGCTGATCCCAATGTGGTTTGGATGGAAGACAGAGTCAGCTTTGAGATACTTTAACAAGGATTATGAGGTTCTGGCACTGTACAAGCTGGCAGTAGGAGCCACAGGAATTGAATGTGGGGAAAGACACATAATCACACCTCATGGTCCACAAACTTTCAGGGATTTCTTAGGCTTTATAAACAATCCCAGCAGTTGTGTATATACCCTCAAAGGCTGCTGCATACTTGAGTACATGGTTAAATATTGCATCTGACCCATGCAACCTGTGAGGAAAAAATGCCAAATCACATTTGTTAAAACCACAGGATTATAGCCATCTGATACTTCATATATTTTCAGTAGTGTGTTTTGGGGGGCAAGAGGTCTTGATTTACTAAGCAGGAAATGTAAAAGATGGATATTTTTAACACAACTGAATGAGGCCAGAGTTTTTTAAAAGCTTAACAGCTGTTTCATAAATGCTCTTTGCCATTAGTCTGAATTAGCCTCCAAAAAGGGGTAATTTTGAAATCAGATCATACCATTAATACATTAATTATGGTACATTAAATCTTGTGCTTGAAAAAAAAGTTGTTGTTGTTGTTGTGCTTTTTACAGTCAGAATGAAAGCTGTAAAATAGATAATAGGGTTAACCAGAGACTAATAGGGGATGTGCATTTAATCAGTACTAATGAATGTTATTTATTTGTAATATATTTGTATATAACCCTATAACGCAGAATTTGCCAGGGCTTGAATGCAGAAGTTTGACAGGGTCTCTGAGGTGTAAGAGTCACTGCATCTGAAATGGTGCATAAATAGCTCAACATCAATTTCCATTTCAAACACTTGCCACGATTAGAACTATTCTGTGGAAGCAGTCCAATCAAAATATGTGCCTACGCGTCATTGTGTGTGTGAATGTGTATTTGAAAAAGACCTATCTTCTTTGGAGTGATTTGAGGTAGGAAGACTAATGGCCTCATTATCTATTCCAGCTTTGATGTCTGAATAGAGCCCTATAAACATCCAGCTAATTTACTCCAGCCGTTTCAACCGACCAGGCTTTAAGTGCACTGACCCCACTAAAGTCTACACAAATCTGATCAATGTGACCTGTGCTAACTCAGTAAATGCAAGATAACTGTAGGCATCTGTGCACTACATGACAGAGACTTCCTTAAAATGTCACCATAGTGAATACCAAACTCAATGTGATGACTTCATACTTGTTTGAATACATTCAAAAAGAGCTCTGAATGCTTCTTAATGTTTTCAAACTGGTGTCATCAGACCCACAGTTTGCCAAAAGGTAGTGTGAGGGGGATGCAGAGTGTTTCAGAGGGATAAAAAAAAAAAAAAAAAAGCAATAAAAAATAATCATTCACAATAACATCTTAATATTTGGATATTTAATATTTTTATCACATATTTTTCATCCTACGTTTAAAGGAAATAATAATGAGAATAATATTTTATTCTATTAACAAACATTTCTTATTTTTGTTTCTACGAGTTCATTTCTCTGTATACTTGCAATGTACATATACTTTGAAGAAGAGTTTGCATTTGTGCTGTATCTTTCTGGAGAGTTTTTCATCGTGTTTGTTGCCTTCAGCTTGCTCATTGGAGGCTGTAAGGCAATATTCTCAGTAAAGCTGCTTTGGAACAGCATTTAGTGGGAAAAGCGCTATGAAATAATTCTCTCTGTGTATATAATACAACATTGCTCTAATAGTTAGTAGAAAAAAAAGATACAATTCCAACTTAATTGTTTTGGCTTTAGGACTGTGACAGGGCAGCCAATTATTTTATTTTGCCAACAACATGTCTTTTAAGACACAGAAAAGTCACACAGAAAAGTGGGGTTTATTCATTAAAACATACATTACTGTATATTTTCCTATACAGTTGTACGGGAAAATATGAGTTTATATTCCGTTATATTTTAGGATGAAGGGAGATCAGAAGGAGATCATTATATTTAGGGGTCCTTGACATCAAAAGAGTTTCTAATCTCTGTCTTAGTGGCACCTCCTCTTTTATTATGACTCTAAACTGATTGTCCCCCTTCATAATTTATGGTGGTTGTCACCCTCCAACCCCACGTACCTGCGACGGGCTGACAGTCATTTGACCTTTTGCTATCTCTCCCCAAAGGTGGGTCTCTTCATTATAATACCAGTCTCATTTATCACAAGCCAGTGGGCATGAGAGCAGTCAGGCCATAATTGTGACCTTTTATTCCAGAAGCTAAAGGGAGTTCAGAGGTAGGCGGAAAAGAACATCACTTCAGGTCTAATCGCCATCCAAGTGAAAATGTGTTGAGCGTCCGAATAAACAGAACTAATCTGAGGTGATTCCATTACATCTGGACAAAAACAATGTAAAGACAACAGAGAAAGAGTCTGTTTGTTCAAAGAAGCCTAGAGTCAAGCTGTTGGCATTTTATAATCCACAAAGTAAAATTAACTTTGTTCTTTTCAACAGGAAGATTATGAATGATCCCATATAATAAAATGAGTGTAAACATTTTCTTGTTGTTTGAGAGTTCTAGACTGTCACAGTCTGTGTGCTGTGACAATCTGTTATATTAATTAGGTTTTTGGAGTGCTGCTTCAAAGCTGCGGGCAAGCATCAAACGCTGGGGGAAAAAAAAAAAAAGTTTTACAGTATTGAGTGTGCACTCTAAGCTGATGCTGATGCGGGGGAGATTCAAAGATTCTTTACTGCAGTGATAAACAAGGAATTACATCGCCACAACATTAGTAAACAGGACACACACAATAAAAGTGTGCAAAGATGTTGTGTGCCCGTGCAAAATTCCCACGGCCTATGAAATAAATGGTGGAATGTGGCAACAGGTCTGTTTGTGTCCCACTGGATGTCCTTATCGCAAGGCAAGCCCTCACATACCTTACTAGGTCTCACATTTACTCAGCAGGGTTGGCAGTTTGTGGATTGAAATAATTTTGTTATTAACAGTCTGCCATAGTTTGATTTCACCAGACTTGTTTTTGTCTGGATAATCCGTCGGGACTGCTGTGGGAAGGGTAATGTGTGGAGAGTGCATATAAAATCAAGGTTCCTGCTCTGTGGTTCACTGCAATGGAAAGACTTATTTAATGAATTAAAAAACAAAACAATTCATTTCCCCTTCCTTAGAGGTCCTGACAGACAAATTTATGTCAGTGGTTGTACATCATCACATTCATTAGCTGCTGATTCAAAGGATAATAACCATTGTGTACAATTGCATTTCAGGAAGAACGACTACTATTGCTATAGGTCTACTTTAGCCATGAGCTAAATGTCAATGCAAAATGTATGCACTTTCGAGCATTAATTCGCCCAGAAATGAAAATCCTGCTATTATTTAGTCACCCTGATGTCATTCCAACAATATATGCTGCTATTTTCATTTTCAGTGGAACAACAGTAGAAACCTTTTTAATGATTTATGCTATTTTTTGCCAAACAACGACAGTTCATAGTGACCACAGGGGTTCTTTTACAGACCTTTTATGTTGTTTTTCTCAAGAACTGTTCATTTAAAACATGAAAACACAACATGTGTGTGTGTGTGTGTGTGTGTGTGTGTGTGTGTGCTTGTTTATGTTTTATGAGGACAGCAATTTTTATAATTCATGTTATTTGGTAATTGTAAAAAGAGTACACAAGTCCAGATACAGGTAGATGGTGTGGATATAGAAAGGGTTAACGAAAACAAGTTTCTTGGGGTGATAATAGATGATAAAATATGTTGGAAACCTCACATAAAACATGTACAAAATAAACTTGCAAGAAGTATTTCAGTATTGAACAAAGCAAAACATATTTTGGACCACAAACCACTCCCCATTCTTTATTGTGCGTTGATATTACCATATTTAAATTATTGTGTGGAGGTTTGGGGTAATACTTATAAATGTAGACTATCATCAGTATCTATGTTGCAAAAAAGAGCCATAAGGATAATTCATTACAGCGGTTACAGAGAACATACAAATTCATTATTTTTAAAATCAAGGACATTCAAATTTACTGACCTGGTTCATGTTCAAACAGCAAAAATAATGTATAAGGTAAAAAACAACTTACTTCCTGGCAATATTCAAAAACTGTTATTGAATAGCGAAGGGAGGTATAATTTTAGGAGTGAGTGCAAATTTAAACATCCCTTTTTCCGTACGACATTAAAAAGTTTTTGTATTTATGTGGAGTGAAGTTGTGGAACAGACTAAGTTCAGTGCTCAAACAATGTCCAAGCATAACTCAGTTCAAAAAGCGGTACAAAAGTATAGTTTTGACAAGGTACGAGAATGAAGAAGGTCGTTGAATAGGTGATCTCAGTTAATTTATAAATTATCTTTTTTTTTGCATTGTCTAATAATTATGGTGGATACAAATATAGGTAAATATGTTTGTTATTTATGTATTCTCTGTGTGTATGGAGAAAAATAGATTAAGATGATCGGCCACCAGAGTATTATTGATAAGTAGTGAGAAGGGGTAGGATTAAATAAGCTCATGCTTCTTCCTACTCCTTTTTGGACATGTATAAGTTAATATTGTTTTCTTTCTTTTTTTCCTTTTTAACATTTTTTTTTTTTTTTTTTTTTTTTTGCTTTCTGTTTTGATGAGTATTTGTTGTTATTAATAGGTTTTTGTTTTTGTCATTAAGTT